CAAGAGGCTGCATTTGTGGTTACTACGACAGCCACGCTTATGAACATCGAGTTCTCGCCAGCTGAATCTGAGCTTTTACTTATCTTTGTTAATAGGCGCGATAAACCAAGCATTCAGATAAACCTGAATGGGAAGAAAGTTGCTGTCGTAAAAAAAATACATCTACTAGGCCTGTACATTCACTTTAACCAACTCGATACCTACACGCTTCAAACGGTTGTTACCAGCATAGACTACACAGCGAGACTTATAGGAAGAGTGTCCATTAAGCGTGGAGGTCTTTGTGAGGCATATTTGTTAAGACCTGTACAAGCATTTGCCATCAGGGAAATCACCTTCTCCATCCCATATTTTCGTCTAACCAGTCCTGAGGACGATGAGGTGAATTCACTGATACGCAAGTTCCACAAGTTCGTTCTCAGAATGCCAAGTACAGCTTCTATAGAAAAAACGTTTCGGTACAGGTACATTCAATACCTTTAGCGATCTCGCAGAAGCCTACCTGACAGCTAAAAACCAACGCTTAACAAACACCCACACTGTTAGGCATATATTAAACTTTCCAAGTATTACTCCAGCACCTAATAATAAGGAGACATTAAATATTTCCCACGAGCTATACGAGAACTTTCATGTTTCTCCTATCTCTAAAAATATGCATCCTCTTCATCAAGAGCATAGATGACAAGTACGAGCTAAATATCTTCAAAAAAAGTTTTTGAACCGCATTGATGTGGTCTGTGTCGATGCCACGGAGCATCCTTGTCGGCGGAAATTCGCGTTAACAGTTAACTCCGGCGGCAGTGTTCCAACGGCAGCCTCCATTCAAGTCTTTGGAAGAGGCGAAGGAGGTATTGGTTGCACTTGCCGCTACGATTGCTCATTCTTCTATCATAGTGAGTGATTCGAAAACTGCCATATACAACTTCAGAGTGGGCAGGCTTAGCAGAACAGCCCTAGCCATTTTCTACCGTAATCCTTCATCCCAACTTGCTGTGTTAATGTGAACACCTGCTCACTCAAGCCTAACTGTTAATGAAGCGGCCCACGCAAGCGTTCCAGCATTCACGATCCGAGCGCAAGCTCACCTGGGTGACGTTTAAGAAGCCAACGATATATATACTGCAAGTACATCTAAGAAAAATCATTTATACAACGACATTCACGGGCGCTACCGCTTCGATCACTGAACCCTATCGTCTTCAGAGCGTCAGTTCTCCCGCACGTTGGAGGTGCTCTGGCGTAAACTACAAACCTGATCATCTCTCTTCCTTACCTTACGCCACAAAATTTATCCCTGAATTCACTTTATTTCAGACTGCAAGTTACATAGCCCCTTTCCCTAAGATGGGATATATGAAATTGTTTCTCTCTCGCCCGTGTGCGCTCTTTTTCTTTATTAGAACAAACTTTTGGCTTTACACAACCACACTTCAACCATCCGGTATATATAGGCACAGCATTTTCTCCTGCCATGTAGTGTCGGTAGCTGAACCAGGGTTTTTGCGTTGATGAACAATAAAGGTTGAGCACAGGCGTGAAGTTATTTAGACTGGAAGTCACTGCCTTTTAGTGTCGGTAGGAAAGCCAAGGTTTTCGCATTCATGAACAATAAAGATTAAGCACAGGCGTGAAATTATTTACATTGGAAGTCAAAGTGAGTAACACACACCTTTTATTGTAAACTTCCCCAATGGCGCCTTCTTAATGTGAAGCATTTTTTCGCGAACTTCGGTGATTTTGAATCTATCTATCTATCTATCTATCTATCTATCTATCTATCTATATGTATATATGTATATATATATATATATATATATATATATATATATATATATATATATATATATATATATATATATATATATATATATATATATATATATATATATATATATATATATATATATATATCAATCTATCTATTCATCTATCCATCTATCTATCTATCCGCTTCCGAATTTTAGCTCTCCTGGCCATTTCGATAATGGTATCAATACCAAATTGGTATGACATAACATGAATGTATGACAAACATAAACGACTAGCCATAACATGAAAATTGTGATATTTATGTCATGGATGTCATGAGTTACATTTCATGCCCCGCCATGGTAGTCTGATGGCTAAGGTACTCGGCTGCTGACACACAGGTCGTGGAATCGAATCACGGCTGTGGCGGCTGCATTTTCAATGGAGGCGGAAATGTTGTAGGCCCGCTTGCTCAGATTTGGGTGCACGTTAAAAAACCCCAGGTGGTCGAAATTTCAGGAGCCCTCCACTACGGTGTCTCTCATAATCATATGGTGGTTTTGGGGCGTTAAATCTCACATATCAATCAATCAGTCAATCAATCAGTCTATGAAATCAGGTGGTCGAATTTCCGGAGTCCTCCACTACGGCGTCTCCCATTATCATATGGTCGTTCTGGGACGTTACACCCTACATATCATTCAATCAATCAATCAATCAGTCAATCAATCAAATAATCAATTATACAATCAATTGACCGCTTTTTTATTACAAAATCATTCGCTGGCACTCCTTCTTGTTGGCTCTACCCGCGTTGGCACTGATGATGCACAAGTTTGAAAAAATATGCCTATGCATTCCACCAACCAAGGCAGCTCAATCATGTTCATTACTTGCACAAATAGTATTCAGGAACGCGGGCAAAGAAGAGCGGTGCCACGCCTCCTCACCGATGGTGTCAACGGCTCTTCGAGGAGCGTGATGAAAGACAACTGGTGATCACAGAATGCATGTCGTGTGCGATTTTCGTCATCCTTTTAGAGACAAATGAAAAATACATGTCTGCTACCTTTAGTGTCTTATTTATATTTTTATTAGTGCAACCTACATCGCGCAAGTGGGCATTATTGTATGGAGGTGAGGAAAAAAAGTAGTACTACAGTCGACGAAAGCGCACGCTTATGCCGTCGAAATTGGCATACATTTGCGAAGCAGCTCCAGCGCATTCACAAAAACACTAATTTTGTAGTGATGAACAAAAAAAAATTCGATGGAAGATCAACAACTTTTGCAGCCAAATTATTCCACTCGCAAACGGTAAAAAGAAAAAAAGAATTTGCAAAGGCACCAGTATGACTGCTGAGCGCGCGGATTTTTTTATAGTCATCATTTCTATGTGGCATATAGCACGGGCGCAACATGTATAAACTTTTGGATTTAAATACAGAGTATAGAATAGAAAACTTTAATCGCAAATATTTTCTGCGCTTCTCGAGAGGCTTCGATCCTAAGTTATTCCTAATGCACGTAACACAGGAGTTACAATTGTAATTATTACTGACAAACCAAGCTGCTTGGTTTTGTATGCGTTCATGTTAATAGATTAGTATTTCACCATGAGGATCCCACACTGTACAGGCATATTCAAGGACAGGTCGGACATTTGCAACATACCAGGCCTCTTTCTGACTTTTTGGGGCAGACTTGTAATTGCGTTCAATAAAGCTTAACACACCGTTGGTCTGTCCAGTTGTGTGACCCATGTGCTTATTCCAAAAAAAAAATCAGCAGACAAGTATACACCTGGGTATTTAAAATGTTTAACATGGTCAAGTAGTGCTCCGGCCAAGCTGTAGGACGAGTGAAAATGTTTGCGTTTTCTGGTAAAACGAAGGAAGCAACATTTTTTTACATTCCAACAAATCTTCCATTTCTGACACCACCTTACCACAGTGTCAAGATCACGTTAATAAGCCCCAATATCATCCATACTGTGTATTGATCTATAAATAACACAATCATCCGCATACAGCCTCACGTTTAATGTTAGCGTTTTCGACAAGTCTATAATAAAGACAAAAAAGAGTAAAAGACCTTATGCCGAATCCTGAGGCACCCCAAACGTTATGCTGACGTATAAAGAAGATGATTTATATACTCGGCAACGTTTTCTAGAAGGTAAATAATTCCTCAACAAACCAAGAAATGATGCAAGAAGACCTAAAAAAAGTAATTTATGTAATAAAAGAGCATATAGAACGGTGCAAAGCTTTCTCAAAGTCTACAAATAGAAAATCGACTTGATAACCCTTATAATATGAACTTAAAACATCATGAGAAATTTCGCACAGTTGTGTAACATATGACAGACCAAACCTATAACCATGCTGAAATGTACACAAAAATTGTTTCTTTCCAAGTGCTTTATAATACCACTCTATATAACGTGTTCGAGAGTTTTACAACATTCACCTGTCAAAGAAATTGGCCGCTGTAACAAAACACACCGATGTAACTTCAAGGAAAAAGACTAATCACCGCCCGGGTTTCCACCGAGCTCACCAGCGGCCGCTCGGTGGTTCCGTCTGCCTCGTATCTGTACTCGCCTTCTTGCTAGATGTTTGACTATGATTTGCGAATGAAGCGGACAATACGTTTAGCCCTTTACTCCAGCAGATATTGTCTTATGTGAAAGAGAATCTATGCAACGCTTTTTCCACCTGCCCTGGGCACGCACTCATACTGGCCGCTGGCCGGCACATTGCCGAAGATGCAGAGCAGTATTTTGGTTAATAGTTTGAAGTTGAACGTACAGCCTTTTACTCCAACACGATGTGGTAATTTTAAACGCGCGATTGTTTTGAAAGACTAGAAGCCACATAAACTCCTCACTCGGATAGTTTTTACTTACAGTGGGTGGGCGCGGGTCATATGCAACCACGCGCGAAGATTTTTTACGGGCACACCCTTCAACTTAGAACATTAAAACGTTCACTCGCAGAAAACAAAAAATAAAGACTTGAAGGTTGCTTAAGTCTCACCTTTAGGACTAGAAAGCGATAGCGTACTTTGCCTAAAAATAGAACAAGCATCGCAGATGTGTTACGCGCTTTTGTTTATTCAGGTTTCCTTGCTTTCAAGAAATGTGGCCGTCCACAAAGAATGTCTGGCATGCAGAATTCAGTAGAGTATGGTGCTAGAAGCGAATGTTTCAACGTTTACTTTTTCCCACAAAAATTATTCCTCACCTCTGCTTCAAATCCTGTCATGTGGCGGAACAGATGTACCGCGTTCACCAAGTTGAAGTGACTCAGAGGAATGATCTTCGGTATTCCAGTAGACCCCTGCACATGTAGAAGTTCGAGCCATCAACACACATCATAAACTTAACATCGATTTTTACATAAACTGCACGTGGTAAATGCAAAAAGACAAGGTCACACATTTTACGTTAATACGAAATATTGGCTCAGGTTCAACTTTTGTACTGCGATTCGTCTAGCGTGAACGTTGATTTTTACTTAGTAAAACAAACATAGAGCGCGTAACGTTTTAGTAATTTTATGCTTTGTTCCAAATACGACGATCTTTTAAGGTGATAGCAAATATAAAGACACTCTCAGTTAGACTTAGCCACCGGCATTAGCATCTGCCGTCTTTCACCGTATATATATACTTATCTATATATATGAAAACGCAAGAAAAAAACATGATCCAGAAAAAGACTTCGGTGCGTGAGCACTTACGTCCGACCCCTTCCTCATGAGTGCGAGGCGTTAGCGAACGAGCCACCTCTTTCATCGTTCAAACAGTAAACCATTTATATCTAACACTTATCGTGGGTGAGCTTCGGGGAAATATTGCGTTTTCAGCATTACGTGCGACATGGCGCAATGAGCATGCGTCACCTAGAGTAAATATATATGGTCCCAATCACAGTTACTCTAGCGTCACCAGGTCACACGCGCTGATGCGTTCATCTCTCGCACCTACATTGCCTCGCAGGGGGAAGGGGGGGAAGGCCACGCGTGCGCACGCTTATCTCGCAGCGAGGAGAATCGTACGCCTTGGGCTTTTACTGGAACGATTCTGTTGTTACCGGACGCACAAAGGTCACTGCATTGGCTGCACACTCTAATTTTGCAAAAAGGGTGCGCTTTCCAGATACACCGGTGTAACAACTGAGAACCTTATGTACGTTCATGTGTAGCTGTCAATATGTTTCGTCCGTCATTTGTGCATGAGATAACTGGGGCACGTTTCGATCGGCTTGCCATTATTCACGGGACATTCCAACTTCTTGCTATCGCATTCATTGATTCGTCTTTTTGGCAAAGCCGTTCCTTGAATATTCAAGAAAATGGTCTGTCAAGTCTACTTTGTAGTTCGTTTAGTAATTACGTGTGCTTAATACTTCGTAGTGTTAGCGAGCACCACATCAGCCGGCAGCCACAACATGCGATAATCACGTGACCTATGACTCCTTCTTGCGAAGAAAGAACAGTCTCGCCACATGTGCTACAAGTGGCGCTGGCTAACGCTGCCAGATATATTAAACACACACCTCGACGCTCTGAGAATGGGACGCGTGGTTCGAAGGTTGTGGCTTTTTCCCCAACCGACGAAAATGAAGTATTGTTGCCGGCTCACCTACTCGAAATGAATTCGCCTTTCAGCCTCTTTGCGAAACACGAAGGAAGAAGGGGGAAGAGTGTTCGCGCACTTTCCTTCGTCCTTTTTTCTTTTGCTCAAAGCATCTAAAAACGACGAAATTGGGTATTTTTCGTCCAGTTGACTTGTTTGATTATGAAGGAAGAAGAATTGATGTGACTACATTTTTCTATTTTACTCACTACTGTCCACTGCAATCCACCATGTTTTACTTGGCCTTACTGTCTCCCTATCTTAAAAAGTACCATGGTGGATACTGGAAACCATTATGGGCGTAGTGGAAATAATAGTGGGTATAGTGAAAATTAGGCTCGATATACCGCGACGTAGTGCAAATTATGGTGGAATTATGGCCGGGTTATACTGGGTGTAATGATGTACACAAGACAGGTAAGTTGGAAACAACGGTGGGAAGTAGCGGCAGATTGTGGGCGATTATGGGAGGCTCTGCTCACCATTGCCATAATACTGGGAAGCATTAAGCAGAAAATGGGTGATGCTTAATATGGCGAGCCAGATGGTGTACCAAGCTGAGAAGCTGTGCCCATCATTGCGATATTGCTGGGAAGCAGTGAGCAGATGATGGGTGGGCTTAGAATGGCGGGCAATGTATACAGTGGCCCCGCCGCGGTGGTCTAGTGGCTAAGGTACTCGGCTGCTGACCCGCAGGTCGCGTGTTCGAATCCCGGCTGCGGCGGCTGCATTTCCGATGGTGGCGGAAATGGTGTAGGCCCGTGTGCTCAGATTTGGGTGCACGTTAAAGAACCCCAGGTGGTCGAAATTTCCGAAGCCCTCCACTACGGCGTCTCTCATAATCATATGGTGGCTTTGGGACGTTAAACCCCACATATCAATCAATGTATACAGTGTACCAAGCTGGGATCTGCAGACTACATGTTCTACTACCATCATTTCCACTAAATTTTTGGCCTACTGACCGAACTCGTACAATTGTGCTATCCATGGTTCTGGATTTCAGAATACATGATTTTGAAGAATAGGCATGACAATACAGCACAACCGAGGAATCAAATAACCTATATAAAGCATTTTTATTGTGTACCGTGCCTGCGCAAGAAGCGACAAACATCGATGCTACACGATTCCAGCACTTCCAGAGAACGTACACCTCCCCTCACCGACAGCAGTCGTTCACACTCGCCGGCTCTTCTCTGGCTCTTATGCGAGAAGACAGACTTGGCGATTCGTATGCTTACTGAAACAATATAATATCATAGTCTTTTCGGCACACTGCATTCGTTTTGGCCAAGCCGATATGTAGATTCGCTTGAGCCCGTTATACCTCCTGGTGGTACGAGCTACCCCCTTTTTCCTTTTAGATATTTTCATATATAGGGGGCGAAAAAAACTATAACGACAAAGGTACAGCAGGGCCCTGGTATGACAGCAATCTACGATGCGTAAAAACATCACAATACTTAATCAATTATGTGGGCGTATCTATCGAATGAACCTATATGCATCATATTGTCTGAGCATATATCACTCTTTTAACGAGCCAAAAACAGTTAATAAACTTGACAGTAACCACGGGTAAACTGTAACTGCTCCCCAGTCCACTTGGGTTTTTTTTTTCTTGCGCTTGTGAATTATAAGAAAAACATAGCGCTGGTACCAATATCACAGTGGCGATCGTTACAGGCAGTAGATGAGTGTGCTTAATAAATGCGCAAATTTTCGTAGCAGGTGCAAATTTTGTCTATGTCGAGTAGGCGACAAACTAAACTGAAATTGAACGATCACTTCGTATGTTAACTTGCTACTTAACAGGTGACCTTCGTCATGCCGGCATGACGCAATCGTGAGTGTCGAAGGTTGTATGTTTGAATTTGCGTGGTGGCCTGTTTGTTACAGGTGCTTTTTACATTGTTTTTATACATTTTTTTATTTTCGTAACCACTCGTCAGGATATTTTACAGCTATTTTGTGATCAATCGTTGACGAAACTGCAACATGGATATCCCACCATGAGCCATGGTGTACATTTTTCCAGCATTCACCCATCACATTAGCCTTATATAATAGTAAGTGGTGCTTTACACCATGCACACCATTTGTTAGTTTTTTTCTAATTAGGCTGTCTGTTTCGTCAATTCTTCTAATTCGTTTTTGAACTTCGATAAAATTATTTCACCGAAAAAGCAATGCCAGTCGCACTTTTTCACACAAAATTGTTATATGCGGGCGCCAACCAATACTTGCATGATGGATTTCTGTTACGTAAATACGTCAACAAAATAAACGGGCCAGGACGGCAAAGAAAATAGAGTTGAAGAAAAATGATCATGTTGCTAAGAGTCGAACGACCACAATTTGCTGGCATTCAGCACACAACTTCACCACCAAGAATATGAAGGAGTTTACTTGAATGCACCTTTTTACTGGTTGCCAGTGCTCTTGTTCACAAATTTGAGTAGCCGCCGAGAAACTTGAACCTCAAAATGCATGTGGTCTCCGTGATTAGCTCAGGCAAAAGCACCATTGTTGCTGAGCCGTCCATACGGCGCATTTCCAATAGAAGTGCAATAAAGCGATAATGCTCGACCTCGTCGAACAACGCCTCTTCTTAGCTTCAGAAGAAACCCTCAACACGAAACCTCTCGCATCAGTAGACATAACCACAGAGACAGTGGTTACGAAAATTATAGGGAAGGTAAAGCTTCTGGCCCGTATGGTAACCACACTCGAAGCGAAGTTGATTGGCTTCATCCAACAACAACACAACTTTGTTACCTATGCTTCAAGAATTTCGAAAACTTATGAGTGGCTAGCGGAACGATCGTGAACTAAACGCAAGGAACGCAAGACGTAGGGGGAGGACTCTGCTTTGATCGACAGCACTAAACGACAGACACCAGGAGGAAGGCAACTGCCATCATTAAGGCTCCTAAATGTAAACAGCGTAGTCAACTCCCTACTGTCCACATTAGGGACTGCAGGTATAGCTCTCACAGAACCCTTTCAGCAAATTTGCAAGAATATATTAAAGCAAGCAATCTGGACATGATCGCGTTGTCAAAAAAGAACACAGAAAAAAATCTAACTTTTTGGCTACAGTACTCTCACACACACACTTCGAATGGTGATTCTTGTGTAGAACACAAAAACAGCTCAAGCTCACAATATCGGTACTCTGGTATCAAACACAGCATACACAAGATACAACCGACTCGAAAATATCAACAGAGTGTGTACCTGGCTAATCTATACAGCCCTTCACGAGATCATCTCCATCACTGCAAATTGTTCAAACACCAACTTTGCAAGAGAATAAATTCTAAGTGGTTGGTGGTAAGTGGGAGACTTAAATGACCCACACGCAGCCTGGGGCTGGTACAAAAACACCAACAAAGGGGCAAGGTTCACGACACTAGTTATGAGTAGAGGAGATTTTGGAAACATATAAACTGATGTGTGGCCAGTGTAAGTAAAGTGAAGCAAAACCGAAACCATATAAGCTTTTTTGAAACCAAAAGAACAAGATTAACGAAAAGAAAGAAGTCAATGTGGCTTGCGCTTGGAAAGCCTGAGGAACACGTGAGGGCGAAGCAGCTCGTGGGGCTCTCAAGGCTGTTTGGTTCTGGACCCGAGTCTGTGGACCTGGGGATGACCTCGTAATCCGGCAAGGACGACGCCTGCTGTGCCACGTCAC